TCTTTCCTTCCTTCCTTCCTTCTTTCCTTCCTTCCTTCCTTCCTCCTTCCCTTCCTTCCTTCCTTTCTCTTTTTTCCCTTCCTTCCTTTCTTCCATCCTTCCTTCCTTCCAACCTTCCTCCCTTTCTTTCTTTCTTTCTTTCTTTCTTTCTTTCTTAGCCCTCATCTCTGTTTCTCTCTTTTAGAATCTCGCCTTTCCCCCTCTCCTTCTGGTTCCCCGAATTTAGAAGAGCGTGTTTGATAGTATCTCACAGGCAATTAGCGTCCATCCCCAATCACTTAAAAGAGGCATCAGTACACTTTGAAAGCAGGGACTATCTATCTTTGGCAGGCACCGTCAGAAAAACAAATTGTGCCCGAGCTATCCTTTTAAGTACCTTAACCTCCAACCTCCTCCCACTTCCTTGCTTTTTAACTTCTCCTTTGAGAGATGTGATCGTGCAGCACCTCAGAGCCTCAAAGAAATCTCATCTTTTTTCCTGTGTGAAACCCATCCCTTTATCTTACATCTCCGCCTCCGCCCCAAGATTACCCCCCAACCCTCGCCCACTTCCAAAGATTTCTGAGCCTCAGTGTCTCTCACTCCTGGCAATTAAGTAGCAGATCCCAGCATTCTAGTCGGTGGCATCTCGCTTCTCACCGACAAAGACTCCATTAAAACAGATCAATTAGACCAGACGTTGGAGGCATCAGAAAATCGGCTTCCAGACAGCGCAGCTAAATTCTTTAAGGAAACGGAATGCCCATTAGCTACAGCTGCCAGCCGATATTGCAAAAACAAGGAATCAGGGATGTCTTTCGCTGCACCCTTTCAGCAGAAAAGGCAACATAAATATACACTTAATGTAGATCAAGATTTAACAACTCCCAGTTCAGAGTGAGGACATGTCATTTTCCATAGCAAGGCTGGTGTGGTAACTAATCAGGCTTATGAAAATAAGTCATGCTTAAAACTAAAGGCAAAGTCCTTAAAAGTGTTTATGCAGTAATTATGATAATGACAGGGACCTGCTAGGAATTCAGTACTTGGCTGTATAAGTAGAATTTTACAGCACCTCTTAGCAGAGTAGAACTGTTATTGAATTCTCTGCTAAGTAAATTTTTGGCATGCTTTCTACTAATATGTACTCTTCCTAAGACATTTTGCCCAAAGTAACTTAAAACTCCAAAGGAGTTAATTACTGGTTGTGACTGGTTAACAAATGCAGTTACTTGCACAGAGATTCTTTAAATTACTAAACAGTTTCAGGCAAAGCCTTTCCAATAGGAATGCTGTGATTTTGTTTAGCTTGCTTTGTACTTGGTGTTAAAGTGCCACCAAGAAACAAATTCTGAAACTGGCAGGCACCACCAAGTGGCAGAAGAACATCACTCACTGCACAGAGCATAGGATCGCTGAACATGTAAATACAAATATATACGTTATTTAGCCTCATCATTAGTACCAAAGAAATAGACAGGGATTACATTTTATGGCAATGAAGATTGGATTAGTGATTGGATTAGTGCTTCAACTTTTCCCCCAACAGGTCAAATCGGTTTCCTTATTAGAATTGAATTTAAAACTAGGTCTACAAATTGTATTTTGCATCGTGCATTATATGAATACTAGGTACACAATCCAATCTTGTCATGCATTTGCAAAATTTCTTATTTTCAAGGAGTACGGAATATTTACTTTCAATATCCCTGAGCTAAAACAGTTTATTTATGGCACACACACTCTAGAATTGACTCAGAGGGTGAGAGTCAAGTTATCATATTTTTAAGTACAAACAGAACAGAATTTTTTTTTTCCATAGAGATTTTTTTAAAAGTTTTTTTCTCCCCTTACATGGAAAGGGCATTGTTAAGAATGGTGAGATTACTCAGAGTTTTAATGGGGGTGCAGGTGGGGGAAGGGAGAAAAAGTTATTCCAGAACAAGAAACATTTAAGATAAATAAATAAATCTGGGAAAATAAGACATACTGCCAATCAGAGCTCTATCTCCTTTCTGATCTCTAACACTTTCTGATGTTTCAATGATGGTAAGATATATAGTATGCTTATTAAGCGTCAGACATTGTTTCCTTCAGGAGGAAACACATTTTTAAGCCCCACAAAACCCCCATGAGATAAGACATTCCTTTATCTCCATTTTATAGAAAAGCACATAGCTTCTTTTTTTAAATGTTTATTTGTTTTGAGAGGGGGGAGGGAAGGGGGAGAGAGAGGGAGAGAATCTCACGCAAGCTCCACGCTGTCAGCACAGAGCACAGCATGGATGGATGTCAGGAACCCTGAAATCATGACGTGAGCCAGAATCAAGAGTTGGGCAGTTAGCCCACTGAGTCACCCAGGTGCCAGAACCAAAATGGCATATCGCTTTTAAAGCATCAGGGGGCTTGCCCATTGTAACAAGCTCGGTCAATGGCACAGCTGGGACTCAGCACAGTTTTGTCTGTCAGAGCCCAAAACCCAAATCACCATTTCTTGCTGGTATGACTACTACCTCGTAGCTTCTATGAAAGGAAACTAACTAGGAACATATTCTTTCTGTCCATGCAGCTGCTTTGCCCTTCCTATGGAGTACCAGGAAGACCCGAACATTAAATTTCATACTTGCAATTCTTATTAATTACCTCATATGAGTTACTTAAGAAGCTGTTTAAAAGGAGACAAATTCCAGGGGCACCTGGGTGGTTCAGCCGGTGAAGAGTCCAACTGGTTCAGGTCATGATCTCCTGGTTCGTGGGTTCAAGTCCTGCATCAGGCTCTGTGCTGACAGCTCAGAGCCTGGAGCCTGCTTCAGAT